GATTTGCTGGAGGAAGAGCCTGGCTTCAGGGGTAGGTGGGCATGGTGTGTGTTTGTGGCTTTGGGCTATGATAGAACCAACTTGATTAAGACCTAACAATACTTTTCACAGAAGTTTATAATCTGGTCTGGAGACAAACCATACAATTCAGATACATTTCACTTGGAGAGATCAGATTCTGTAAGGACGGGCGCCTCCCCTAGGCTGCCCTCTGGGGCCTCAGAATCTTCCTGTTAATGGTCAGTGCTGTGAAACTTCCTACACTCAGGGCTTTTATGAAGATGGCAAAAGGGTGTTTAACACTGTCTAGCTCACTCACCAACCAGGCTCACAATATTTTTAGAAGCAATGAAGCAACTGGCCAGATACTTTGTATCGGCTCCAGCTGCCCCTGGGGGCTCCTGTGGGTGTCTCCTGTGGCCTATTCCAGGAATCCCGCTACAAAGCAGGAGGGCACCAGCTTATGTGCACCTGCTTATAGTAAGAATCGTGACAGTAACTAACATAATGGTACACTTATATTTATGAGGTCCCTCACCCCATAAAAATTACCTTATTTAATCCTTACCCAGGCCAGGCCAGTGGCTCATGCCTGTAATCCCAGCACTCTGGGAGGCTGAGGCAGGTGGATCACCTGAGCTCAGGAGTTTGAGACAGCTTAAGCAAGAATGAGATCCGTTTCCACTAGAAATAGAAAAACTGAAGCTAGAGGATCACTTGAACCCAAGAGTTTGAGGTTGCTGTGAGCTATGATGCCACAGCACTCTACCAAGGGCTCTGTCTCAAAAAAGGAAAAAGAGAAAAAAAAAACCTTACCCCATAGGAATTAATCATATTTAATCCTTAGCACCACCTGACATGGGTAATATTATTGTCCTCAGTTTACAGAGGAGAAAACCAAGACTTAGAGACCTCTCCAGACTTAGAGAAGTTCAGTAATGCATAGCTCAGAAGTACACAAAAATTAGCATATAAGGACAAAAGCTTTAATTTTATTCCTCCTCTCTGTGACTGTGAAATCTACATGTGACACAGGGTATGGTGGCATCCCCATGGCTATGGGCTCCGACTTACATTAGCAACACCTGTATAATGTTGCAGCTCTGAATCACCATCCTGGCCATACAATGAAATTCCCAGTTCCAGGCCCCAGCCCCACCCAGGCCACTTAGATTGGAACCTCATGGGAGAGGGTAGTGGGAGGGAGTCTTATGAGAAGCCTTGATCAGTCTCTGGGTCACCTTTCACATGCTGGAATTCTCCTGGGTGCTGTGAACCTGGGGCGGGGACAGTAGCATGAACTAAAACAGCCTCTCCAGTTGTACACAAAGCAGCCACATGCAACTCCCTGAATACCTCTTAGGAAGCAGGGGGCTCACGTTGCAATGGAATGATAAATAGTAGATAAATGACCCAGGTGCTCCAGTGGCTCAGGGAAGGAGGCAAAGAGGTCTTTGCCTTGGGATGTGAGGAGGTGGACAGGGAAGAAGCTGGCACCAGGAGGGCAGTGCTGATGTGATACCTTTGAGCTGGCATCCTGGAAAACTGGCTGCTGCCCCAGGGAAGCCCCTGTATCCTGTGCATATATAGCCTAAAGCCCACGAGGCCACCTGGGACTCAGAAGACCCTACCCAAATATTAGACATCATGGTCTTTACTGAGGAAGTAGAAGCCCTGTCATTTACAAAAACACCTCCCAGAGCTTTACCTGATTTGATTCTCACTGCAATCCCAAGGTGGCTAGGATTACCCTTATTACATAGATGGAGAAACTGAGGCCCAGGGAGGTGAGTTGACTTGTCCAAGACCACACAGGTAGTAAGTGGCAGGGAAAGTACTAGAATCCGGCTTGGTGCCTGTGGCTCAAGTGGCTGGGGCGCCAGCCACATACACCTAAGGTGGCGGGTTCGAATCCAGCCCGGGCCTGCCAAACAACAATGATGGCTGCAACCAAAAAATGGCCAGGCGTTGTGTTGGGCACCTGTGGTCCCAGCTACTTGGGAGGCTGAGGCAGGAGACTCGCTTGAGCCCAGGAGTTGGAGGTTGCTGTGAGCTGTGAGGCCACGGCACTCTACCCAGGGGGATAGCTTGAGGCTCTGTCTCAAAAAAAAAAAAAAAAAAAAGAAAGTGCTAGAATCCACCTGTACTCAATCCTGGGTTCTTCTATTCTAACATCCCCTGGCAAAAAAAATGATGCCCAATGAGTATTTAATCAGTTACATAATTCAAGTTTTTTCTGTGTCACTGTGTGGAGCTTTCTGGGCCTTCCTCAGGACCATCCTTCCCAGCACAGGGGGACAGAGGACAAGAATGGTCCGCCCGTCGTCCCCACCCCGTAAAGTATGCTGGGGTTAATATGCTCTTTGCTATACGTAGCCTACTTGTCATTGGTCATAAAATCATGCTGCCCTTAAAAAGAAAAAAAACCTGTCCCTATTACTTATCTCCAGGGAGGCTCCCAATTCTTCTGCCCCCCACCGCGCTGACTCTGCACAACACGAAGAAATATTTCTTCTTATTTGTGCTAAATTTACTGCCCTGTAATTTTTGTTCTCATTTTCTGTGACAGGCAGCTGAGCGATTTTTTCCCAGCTTTTATTCTGAGTCTCAACCAGGCCCGTAAATCGCTGCTGCCATTTCCTCTCCAGTCCCCAAAGAAAAAAATCACCTGAGCTGTGGTGGCCTTCAAGAGAGGCTGCCTTGTCTTTCAGAGGCCTTTGGATCCTCCCTGGGGGTCACTGGGGACTTGCAGCACTGCCTCAGGGCCAAAGGGCAAACATACCTCTCTCCCTGGCCACCCCTTCCTCATTGCTGAACCATCCTTTCCCTGTACCAGAGCAGTCTGCACTCTGATGTCAGGGGTGGAAGAAGAGGTGAAAATGCAGAAAATGCAGCCATTGGTCTCATGTGCTCATGGCCTAGATGCAGAAGCATCTCAGAGTCCTGATGAGTTTACATTTGGAGAGTGCTTGGTGGGATGCAGGCTCTTGCACCTATATCACTACTCTGAGTTTCCCTAAGGGCTCAGGTAGTGAGGTAGAGTCTGGTTTTGAGGGGTGTTGAGTGGAAGGTGCAGCTAGCAAGGTCAGTGCTAGAAGAGAAATCAGCTCAGAATGTCAGAGAGAGAGGAAAGTACAGGTGTGTTCAAGGAAGAATGGAGCGTAAAAGACAGGAACAAGAGGAGCAGGGTGGCGGAAAGGCCTGGTCTTTCAGGCTGGGGCTGACAAGGCAGAGCCCCAACATGGCTGGACAGGCAGTATAGATTCTTCTCTAGAGGCTGGGTCATCAGTGATCTCTGAGCAGGGTTTGCAGGACATTTATGGAGAGATTAGTTGCCTGGAGCCAGGAGTGGTCCTGAATTGTGGCTGGATTCAAAGGCTTGAGGACAAAGGGACTCAGCGTGGTTGGGGTGGGGATGCTGTGGGCAGCTTTGAATTATCTGCTTCCATGGCTTGTGGGGGAATCCAAAGCAACAGCTCGCTGGGAAGGGTAGACAGGGCGGGCCTGGGGGCAGGGGTGGTAGTTGGAGACACTGTCGGGGCTCAGGAGTCCTGCCTTGCGCTTACTGTGTTTTCTAAACCTGACGTCCTTAGTGCCTCAGTTTCCGTGTATTTCTGGTTGGAGGATCTGACAATAATTACATTTCAGGCAGAGTCTGGGACAGAGTAATCACAGATGAAATGTAACAGTTTTCACCCTTTTTAACAGAAGTGGCAGCTAAAAGAGGGTAAATAACTTCCCTCAAGCTGATTAGGCTATGACAGCACTTCAGCACACCATGTCCACTCCCTGAGCCCTAACACAGGCCCGCAGACAGCCACCAGGGGGCGCCCTGGCCTCGGGGGACACCGATGCTGGAGCGACTGGCCTTGGGACTTCTGCTCCCCAGGCAGAGGTGGAGAAAAACATACAACAACCCTGTTTTACAGACTGAGTTGCTGCACACTTAGCTAGTAGGAAATATAGTCAAAACTAAAATCTGCATCTCCTCATTCACATGGCAGCAATCTTTCAAATAAAAATGCTAACTTTTATTTAACCAGAATATTTGTCACACCTGACTCCCCAACCTATGGTACACCAATGTCAGTGCCAATGAAATAAATGTGCACTCACTACAGTTTGACAAATGTCAAAATGGCAGTAGGGGTTAGGGACTCCCCTGGAAATTTCAGGTGGAAGAGGCGCAACAGAGGGAAACTCCGAGCTGCATTTTGTAGGCTGCATTATGTTTGAAGAGATGGCAGGGGTATAGGGAGAGAAAAGGAGGGGACATGAAGAGAGAGCCCTGCATGCAGAGGCCCAGGGGCTGCTGGTTTGGGAGAGGAGACAGAGGAGGCTGAGGCCATGGAGCTAGAACCAGTGGGCAGGGAGATGCCAGGCCCAGGTGGATGAGATCCCCAAGTACTTTTGTGCATTGCTCACGAGACCTTGTGTGGCCTGGAGGGAAGTCATGCACTGGGCCCTGCTGCCTGGTGTAGGAGAGTGCCTGGGCTGAGGAAGCAAAGAGTTGGGGGGCAGATTCATCCAAATCCTCACATTCTAATTCATAGATAGTGCCGCCAAGTCTCTGAGCCCAACCCTTGCCAGTGCCCCAGATCCCTATTCTCTCCCTATGGGTAGGCCTCACAGGCCACACACCTTAGTCCAGGTGGCACCATTCATCCAGACATAGGCATCTTTCCAAGCCTTCCAGGGTTCATGGTTCACACCAGGGCTCACACGTAGCTGGGCTCCCATGCCTCCAGGGAATAGCTTCACTTTCCCACCTCTCCACCTGCCCTCCCGTCTCCCAGGCTCTGTGGTCCTACCAGGTGCCACATCTGCCTTGGGGCAGTCTAGGATTCCTAGGAACAAGTCCAAGAGGGTTGTGATCAGGGCGAGGTATGGGGTTTGGATGTAATCTTGTCATGATTTCTCCTTGTAGGACCATCTGGGGCTGGTGGGGACATGTTCTAGTCACCCTGGGCCTGGCTGACTAGCTTTGTCTCTTGGTACAGACGCACAGAGCTTCGGCCTGCTGGATCCCAAACTCTGCTACCTGCTGGATGGAATCCTCTTCATCTATGGTGTTATTGTCACTGCTTTGTTCCTGAGAGCAAAGGTGGGTACCACTGGGCACTGGGAGGAGGATGTGGTCTCTCCCACTTAGTAGATGTTCAGAGGGGCCTTGGTCTTGGAAAGTCTCAGGCCAGGGCAGTACCTGGGGCTTAGTATTCACTGGTGAAGCAGGGACCAGTCAGGTGTGCACACTGGGCAGGCTTGGGAGTCTGGGGGTGGGGCTATGACAGAGCAGAGTAGAGGGAGAGCCTGGTACCAGGAGCCTCATGAAGAGCCTACAAAGGTGTGCACATCAGAGGGTCCCAGGGCAGGGGATACGCTGGTAAGAAAGGGGCTTACGTGTAGGCAATTAAGAGCAGGGAAGTGGGGGGACTTGTGGCAGGACTTTCTAGGTCCTGCTGTCCAACTGTTAATGTCAATCTTTCTCTTGAAACCTCAGCTTCCCCATCATTCAATGGGAGAGTCAGCCCAGAGCAACTCTCCCAAGCCCTGGTGCCTTGAGGACCTTGCATTTTCAGAAGGGCTGGGCATGGTGTGGACAGACAGTTGAAGGATTTAGAGGAAGGGGGGAGACTCCAGTTCCCCCCATCACTTCAGCTCTCCACAAGCCATTTCTTTTTTGAACTTTGGCATAAGATTTTTATTTGAAAAACAGAATCTTACTGACATTTTTTAAGTGTAAAAAAGCTGCCCTAAGATGATTTCTAAGGTTGCTTTCAATACTCCGAATCTGTAAGACCCCGCAGTACCTCTGGCTGAGGCGGCAGGAACTGAACACAGAGAGGACAGAAGCTTCAGAG